GTTGGAGGAATTTCGGTCGGAAAGGGATGGATGGAGACTCATGTCCGGACCAGTTAACTTAAAATCAAGTATAAAATTTGACCAGAAACATAAAATCTACGATTTCAGTAAGGCATATTTATTATGGTGTTGACACGGAGACACTGGCGACAGCTTACATTGTTAACAGACAACGATCTCGATGATGGAGGTGTGCCTACCGAACTTCCGAAGTGCAGTGTTTGTCAGCTGTTTGTGGCGTGATTGCATTACATTGACATTTTCCAACAGATTTTCAAATTTATTGTGAGTAAAGTTTAATGAAAAAAAAAATATATCATTCAGATGCCTAGAAGAAAAATAGAGTAACGTTGAGACTATGCAGCTCAGACATGAAACTTATAACACGTAGTTTTCTATTCTCTATGTAAAATCGATCAAGAACTGTATTAATTATTCGTTTACATTGTCAATAAAATGATTATTATTTTACTTGCGTATTTTGTATATTTTTATGCATGAAAAACATGCTATATTGCTAAGTAGAGTAAGTATTTTTATGTAGATATTACTGCGCTGTGTGATTAGGTCACGTAATGACCTATGACCTTCGAAAAACTTCATACAGGTATGAAGGTATTTGCTCTCGGTATGTTTATATAATAGAGAGATACCACAAATGTATATATTTTCATGTGAAATGCTATTGCAACATATAAGTCGTGATGTAATACAGAAAATTAGAGAAAATATTAAGTTCAAATCTGTGTCCAAGCACCTTTAAAGTGTTTGATACCACATCATCATAAACTCATATAGGAGAAAAAAGAATTATCATGTGAAATGGTTACTATGACAATGTGCCTTATTTAATTTCTGAAGGGTATGATGCAGAAAATCCAAGATCAGATATATACAATTGATGATGATTAAGATAACATATTTCTTACTTTTTTGCAAAAAATAATATATTTTTTTTTTTATAAGGGAATAACTGAATTCATAAAGTAGCAAGAAGTAAGGCTCTAAATTCGCTCTTGTGTACATTTTGAACTACGATTTTAATAAGAGGAATAGAAAGTAAATTATTTAACAAATAAAAATAAAAAACGTTTCGTATTGTTACATATATCGCAAATATATAATAAAGATAAAATTACCAGATTTCTCGATTGCTTTATATTTTTTTCTCGAAATGAAGTTGATAATTCTATTAGATTTACGCTAATGTCGGGGGACATTTTCCACCATGTCACTAAAATACACAGATAAATAAAATTAATGCAAAGTACATATAAAATCTTGAATCATAACCATAAAGGAAGGATGGAAATTACGTAACAAAATATTTTCATGCTTAAATTATCCCAAATTATGAAGAAATTAATGTTTATTTCTCTTCATATTTTGAACGTAACGTCTTTCAGCTACAACACGTGGGGAACATTGTTGTAAAAAAGGCACTGTTTATACAAACTCTTTTTCTTTCTTGTCTATTGATAAAAAAAATAAACATCTATCACTTTACTGGCCCCTGATCCCCAAATAAGGCGTGTAGGCTGAAATACGCGGGATGCTTGTTGTGTCTGTCATATCAACGAGGCGTTACGTGCTATTTACAAAATTAATCACGGATCCAAAGTGGATCTACATGTGACCTGGAAATTATGAATAATTAATTTTCTCCCAGTATTCTGTGCTTCTCTGTTTAGCTTCCGATTGTAAGCATTCCAGATAAATCCAGAAGAGCCTTGAATGATTGTCTGTTCTAGTGTGACGTTCATGTGGTAAGTTACGTGCATGCAAATAATACGAGTCATAATACCAATTTTGAGACAACTATCAAATCAATGTGAACAATTAGAGGTTTAATTTGGAATTTTTATCAAAGTTTGAGCATATACATTTGTTTATATCAAGGTATAAGTTTACCAGCTCTTATAATTAATTGTCTAAATAACACGATAACTGACAGACATTGCATGTGAAATAACGTAACATTGACAGATAAGACGATGTCTGTTCATGTTACGTATATTTCAAAGCTGCATTCAAATTTTAAAAAAAAGTTAAATAAATTGAAGAAATGTTGATAAATTACAATGCAGCATCTGCCTTTCTTACACATGAGTAGACTTAACAATTATTTTCTTTTGCTAATTTAAAGGTTTATATTTTTTGACGCATATTCTCATGGTATGATTAAAAGTAGATAGATTGAATTTCTCAATGAATTTTATGTAAATTATTGATAGAGTTGTAAAATTTTGATTTAGATGGTATTAATCTGTTTATTGTGCGAGAACATGAGCAATTTGTTTAACAGTAGCATCTTTAAAAACTCTAACAAAACAAGCTTTGTAAAAATAAAAAAAAAAATAAATAAATTTAAAAAACTGATTTAACAATGGCAGATATAATACCATCGTTTTTACAATTATATTATATGACAGAAAATTCGACCTTGATTTAAAGAAATTTTATGATTAAGATATAAAAAGAGCCATATTTTAAGTGTCTATTTTTTCAGCAGCTAATATTTTGGAAAAATAATGAAACTTTCCATTTCGCCTGGTTTGCTATCTAGAAAAGCCTGTCAGTGTTACGATCATTTTCTATCTTTGTTTACAAGTTAAGAAAATCCAATTTTCGTTGAAGGAGGAGACAAATTTTTTCTATGGTTGAGAAAATGTTTAATTAAGAAGATATACAATTGGCTAGTGAACATGAAAAAAAGGTTGGCAAAGTTATTTGAAATCAACAGAGACAATTTAACATTTAATTTGAAATGCCTGGCCTTAAACTAAATAAAATCTTTGAAAATCATTTTAATAACTTTAATGCATTCAATACTCAATGTGGTAAGCTCTAATTGTACACTTGTTGTTTTTGAGATACGATGATTTAGCCACCTTAGGAGTACAATATTTACTTAGACCGAAGGGCGAAGTGCATATTTTACTTCAAAGGTGGCTAATTTTATAAATCAAGTATTGACTGTGAAAAAAAAGCAATGTTTTTAATTCAATGATTAAATATTTAGTCATTAAACAATCCATGCCATCATACTTGTTTACATTAAATTTTGCTTATGTTCCAGCAAAACGCAATGAGAACAGCCTGGTTTTAATAGATATTATTAATCAGATTAGTTTGAATTTTTAAATCTATCATTCTTCCGGTGAAAAAATGTGTCTGGCATGGTATAGGGTCGATTTTGAAAAGGGGGAGCATTATCAGTGAAAATAACACCTAAAAATCCTTGACTAGGCCCCACAAAAAAACAGAATTTTCTCGACTCCAAATTTTATTGGGGGGGGGGGAGGGGAGTTAAGGTCCATCAGTTGGAGGGGGGCTTTCGATAAACATTTTTATAGGAAATTAAAAGAAAAAAAATTAGTTCAGAGAAAAAAAAACTTAAAGTGTTGGGAAGAGGGGATAGGCCAGCTGCCTCCTCAACACCTACTCTAGATTCTTTATGCCTGAATGTTAAGTTTACCTGAATGGAAGTAGGGTAAATGTGAAATAGATTTCCAAAACCACTGAATTAATTTTGAATTCCTCTGTGTATATATTCTCCAATGTAGAAAAATAATAAATCCTTGTGTTCACCTGGAAGGTAACGTGCTAGAAGTCCAGTCATATTTATGTTTTACCACTTCATTTTCTTTTTCTCATCTTACCAAATTAAGAATAAGTGCATATTAGTTGTATCTAGAAATAGATATTGTAATCTTGTCATTCCTAGAGAAAATAGAAGTTGATTCGATTCTAAATGCATTGTTGAAGATGAAAAACATTATCTACTTGACTGGCCTGTGGATGAATATGTTAGAAAAAAGTTTTTAGAATTACTAGATGTTAATACATTACCTTGTTTGCTTAATCCACATAACTTTGTATCTAAAAGAATTATGTCTTTATATATATCAGACTGTTTTATGTTAGAAACAAGTTTGCTACAGTTTTATATTTTGTAACATCTGTGTCTGTGACTAACAACACAGTCTCTTTTAATGTGTTTAATTACCTATTGATAAAAGAATTGAATGAATTAAAAAATTCCAAGTGTCATATAACATAAAAATTCAAACATTCTTAATTTTAAGGAGACTTAATATTAGTAATTACAATTTGAAACTTAACAATTTTCAAGCTGCGGCGTGCATAAGTTATCATGCTATAAAACTTTATTTGAAATAATGTAGTTACTTTAAAATTTCAAAAGTATTGCATGAAAATCAAATGAATAAGAATTTATAAAGATTTGTGCAACTACTTAATTAACATATTTTGTTTAGCTTACAGTTACAAGAAACATGCAAGGCCATAGACATGCCAAAGTGATATTAAAAGTAGATAATGCTGAGAGAAAGAGAAAATACAGGGACAGTTTGAATGATGACCAAAACAGAGAAACAGAGAGAAAAAACTAGCGAGAGAATGAGAGCTTATCGACAGAGGAAAACAGATTAAAAAAAATAGGTCTAGTCAACATACTATCAGAATAAATCGTGAAGAATTTAAAAAGGAAGCGGAAAAGAAAAAGAGAAACACAGAATATATAGAAGGAAGTACAGAGCAAAACTTTCCTCAAAAGAAAAGAAGAAAAAGTGAAAAGGATGCATTAAGAAAGAAAATGAAGAGAGCAGAAAAAAAAGGAAATCTGAGATCAAAATATGCACATTGTCAGCAACTCCATGTACAGAATCCAGTACAGAAAGTGTGTCTTCAACTCCATATAAAACTAGTGCTTTGAAGAAAGCAGTCTATAGGATTAAGGGGAAATTACCAAAATTTCCTAGAAAGTTTGCTGAAATAGTAAAAGGACTTGTAGAAAAAGCTTCATCTCAAAAAAGGAGGTTTTAACAGAAAAAGGTTTATTGGGCAACAAAAATATAAAAGTATATGCATATGTCATCAGAGGAGTCGATCAGAGCTTGAGAGGAAGAGCAAAATTAGTAAGAACATTAAGAAAGTCATTTATAGGTAGTTTAGTGAAAAACATTAAAAAGAAGTACATGTATGGAACAATTAAAAAGGTTAGCTCTGAGTTAGGCAATCACAGAAGTTTCTTAAGTTCAGGATGTCTGAAAGAAGACAAGAAAAGAAAAGACTGTATGGATGAGGCAACAGAAAAATCTGTAAAAACATTCTTCCAACAGGATCAGGTTTCAACTAATTTGCCAAGTAAAAAGTTATTCAGGAAAGACAATGACGAGAGTAGAGTATTGCTTGGCACACTCAGCACAACCTATAAAAAGTGGAAGTAAGCTACTCCAGAGCAGAAGATTTCACTTGACAAGTTCTCTAAACTGAAACCTAAAGAGGTTAAAACCCAAAAACATAGGATATTTTTACAATGTCTCTGTGAATATTGTGAGAATGCCAATTTGAAGTTTCAAGAAATCAACAAAATTGCAGACAAAGTCAAGAGGTTAGACCTGAAAATGAAGAACATTTATGATGTTTTAGACTTAACACTTTGTACAAAAATAGGAAATTTCCACAACTTAGAATGTACTGACCGAACATGTGCCAAATGTGGTACTGAAAAGCTAACAAATAACCTGAAAATGGAGTTTCCAGAAGTAGATGTGGAGTGGAAAAAATCGGCAATGCAAACAACGACAAGCAAAAAGACAGGAAAAGAAGTTAAGAAAAAGCAAGTGACTACTTTGAAAGGTAAAACAACTGACTTAATAAAAGAGTTTTCAGTAGAAATCAATTTTCTGTCCAGGCATCTGTTTGAAGCAAACTGGCAGCTTGCCCAATTTGCAGAATTACGAAAAAATCTGCATCTTAACACTGTGGCACTTTGCTGATAATTACACTTGCACTTGTCAAAATGAAGTCCAGTTTGCACATTGGGCAAAAGAATGTGTTACAATTCACCCAGCAATAGTTTATTATTAATGTCCACAATGTCAAGATGAAGTAGTCGAAGATGCTTGTGATATCATATCTAATGATCTCACCCATGACTCTCAAGCAGTTCATACCTTCCTTCAGAAAATCTTTTCAGGAAAGGAAAACAGAGGAATTACAATAAATAAAGCTTATGAGTGACGGATGCCCAGCTCGGTGCAAGTCCAAAATTCCGTTTGCAGATACTGCAAATGCCACAGTGACTATAGACTATGGTTTCACAATTCAAAGAAAGTATTATGGGTCTAGACACGGAAAAAGCAGGTGTGATAGAGAGGGATGAGTCCTTAAACTCAGAGTCACAAGAGCTGTTAAAATAATGAAGCAGTTGTAGAAAATGCTTTGACCTTCCTCAATTTCTGCAGAGAAAGCCTTGAAAAGGATACAGAAATATGAGGAAAGTGCTTGCACAAAAGAAGACATGTGTTCTTTGTTCAATCAGTGGAGATCAAAAGACCGAGACCTAAAAGAAATATTAAGACTGTCTCTGGAGCTCAAAAGATGCATTCAGTGGTTGGCGTTGAGCATGAAATACTGAAAACAAGACGTCTATCCTGCTTCTGTCAAAAATGTATCAATGGGGAGCCAGACGAATGTGAACAGTCCTTGTATGTAGATGAATGGAAAACAATTCGCCTAAAGTGTATCCTTCAAAAAGAAAAAAATGGAACATGCATGTAAAATTAAAATATATATATATATGTTAGGAAAAAAAATAACATTGAATTCAAATTAATTATCAAGATATTATTTGTAATTTGTAATGTTTAGAAAGAGTTTATGAATTCTTCACAATGACAAAGACATTCAGCCTGAAGTGATTCAAGTCGTGCAAGAAGAGCAACCAAGTGAGGATCTAGAACTTTGCTCTGGTTTTGGTAGGTCAACTTGTATAGAAATTATGAGAGGTGTTATATTATAACATGGTGGAATACATAATATAATATTCTGTATATTATTATGAATGCCAAATAATATTTATGGAAATTTACCATTGTAGATAATTATCACCTAGTTGCTGATCAAGAAAAAGATCAAGAAGTAGCTTTGGATAAGATATATGCAACATATCGGAATCATGAGAGTGACGAGACACAAAATGTGATCAAGACTGTGGAAAGTAATCCGGGTATTCGAAATCTAGCAATCTGATCGATTCCCTAGAGAGTTGCAAATCCTTTGCAGAACTGGAAAAAATATGCAAATCTGAGGGAACAGTATTGGATGAAAAGTTTCCTTTAGTTTTACAACCTGAGAGATGTACAATTTTAGCTGTGAAAAAGAAGTGTATCTAATGCCAGCTGTCCAATAATTGTCTTAGTTTTAGATTTTTCCTGTTTTAGAAAGATTACTTTTCTGTAATGTCAAATATGAAATGATTTGTAAGGATTGATTGATTGTTGTTGTTGTTTTACGCCTAGTCGACAATATTTCAGCCATATTTCGGCGACATTTGTAAGGAAAATATCGCCAAAAAGGGTATGTATTTTCATAACCCTGGGGTAAGAATGTGTAAAATTTAACTTAATCATGTAATATTTAAACTACAACAAAACATAATATGTGAGTACTTTACAAAATATAACATGTTTTTAATCGTTCGCAATACTTGGTTAGTCAAAAAATTATGTTGCAACCTCACAAGAATGACTAAAGTGATTTCGACATGTCGCAACATCTAATTTTTCCCTTATGTCTGTTGATTACATACAGAGCTTAAATATTTTTTCAAACTTATACGGTTAATTTAGATAAAGAAAAAAACAGACTTTATATTTATTTATTTTATTTTTCCGTATTCTTCAAAAAAATACAGTAGAGATGTATTTTCTTAGTCCTGGGGTTCGAAAGCGTAAAAAATATAACATAAATATTTTGTTGAGCTTATGCACTGTTTTAGTTGCAACAAAGTAGAATATGTGTTGAATTAACAAATTATAACTGTACATGATTCTAATTGTTCGCAAAACTTGGTTTGTCGAAAAATCATGTCTTGATCAAACAAAGTGACTTATTTGACTTCAATGTGACGCGACTCCTGATTTGTTCTTATTTTTGTCAATTACGCATCAACCTTAAATATTTTGCTTTATATTTGTACGGTTAACTTAGACGAAGAAAAAAAAAAATAACCCTAATTTTACTTATATTCCCTGTTTTTCTAAGAAATACAAGAAAAATGTATATTCATAACCATGGGTTTAGAAAGTGTATGATGTACAGACCCTAAAACGTGCTACTACACCTCAGAAACGAACCGTACCGTTCCGTGCAAGAAACGCACCGTACCGTGCAAGAACCGTACCGTACCGTGCACAAAGCGTACCGTACCGTGCACAAAGCGTACCGTACACAAAATGAACCGTTCCGTGCATTAAGCGTACCGTACCGTGCACAAAGCGAACCGTACCGTTCATGAATAATTTTTGAAATAATTATGCAAGCCACGCCCCGAAAGCATTCCGAATCTTGCAATGACCAATTACTGTAAGTAATTTCCTTTTATTTCTTTCGACACAACACACGTTACAGAAGGACGGAAAATAGCCATAGAGATTGAAAATATTAAGGACCATGCATCTTGATTTACATCTGTTAATATAAGGAAACTACTCAAAACTAGTTACGACTTCAAAACAACTCGACCAAGTGTGAGCCGATTCCTTATTCGCTATGCATGATCGGGTTGTGCTTGAATAACTTTTTTCATATTAAATGCAGCATTGTGATATTTTTGTGTACAATTTATAATAAATAAAAGTGAATTAAATACTTGATCGTTTATTTTTATAGCTTTTATCTACCCTATCCTTGTCTCTTTGAACGTTTTCCGTAAACCAGACACATTCAAAAATGTATTAGGATTCTGTGCTATTTTCCGATCAAGCCCTTAAAATCATTTTTTTTATTCATGTAAGTAATAGTTTTAGGGAGAAATGATTACAGATTTAGCAACAACAAAAAAAATGCTTTTTTAAAATTACGAACTATATTGTCAATTTGAAATCGGACATGTTAAAATCACTAGAAAAAAAAAATAAATAAAAGCTATGTATATATAAATAATATGTGCTTCTGACCTACCCAAGATGCTATCGCCAATATAACATACTGTCAAAAAGTTCGTTCGCCAATGAAACCTGCAGGTAAAATATGTTACCTGGAATTTACACATAAGCCCAGTTTAATCTTTTTTTTTTTAAATGCTTAGTCCGAGCATGCGTGTTCATTCAAGTTTTTGTTTTAAGAAACACTGTACATTTCATGCCATGGTCGCGTTATCTAGACTGACGTCTTTCTATACTTTCGTTATTTACTCGAAAACATTTGAAAATTTCAATCAAGTATTGTCATCACACGTGCACTGGTAAAAACTTAAGCTGTGTATATTGAACCGTATCTAATCCCGTTAGTCCAGATATGCCTACATTCACACGTATATATATCAACAGTTTTCTGTTTTAAACAGTACGTCTACAACAATAAACCAGTTTTAATCAGCAGAGAAACAGAATTTCATGCTCAGTCAGTTTTTCCTCTAGAACTTCAATAAAAGAAAGTTTGAGTTTGACAAGGAACCAAGGGGGGGGGGGGGGAGCAGCACCCGGCATGGGCAAATTATTCATTTTCAAAGTTTTTGAGGACATGCATGGCTGCATATTATTTATTTTCTAGATAATTATTGAAAACGGACTATTTATTTCTAACATTTTGACAATTATTTAGTTCGAAAATCTGTCTTTGCAGTCAATATATATTATATACATTTATACATTGTAGATGGAATTGTAGCTGTCTTAACTGTTTTCTTGATTGTAACTTTCCTTCAAAAAGCGCGTTTACACATTGATGGAAAGGAGATGGGTGAACATAGCGTGCAGAAAGCCTATAGCTTCAGATATATAAAAATCATTTCAATTTGTGAATTTAATATTTAGAGTAAAGTTGTCATTATTGAAATTTATGAAATTATAATAAACAAAACTCTTCTGAGGAAAATTTTCTCGGCAAACTTTATTCCTTTATTAAAAAAAATAACGTGGTATTCGAACACTAGCAATAACAAGAGGTCCAAGGTCCTTAGCGGTCACCTGAGTATAATACAACAATTTAGAAGTTAAATACACTGACAGATGAAGCTTTGTTGCCCTAAAGCAAGAGAAGTAGGAAGATCAGGATCAACAAAATAATTAGTCTAGTATTCAGTATCAACTCAAAACTTAAGTTCTAATCTGTCCCCCACTTAATATTATCACCATACAGACTATTAACAAACTATTAGTGCTTCTGTACTATTTTTAAACCCATATTAAGACCTCTAGCATTGACCTCTCTTATGGTCTTTGAAGAACTTTAAATAAGATAAGTTATTTTTGTCTCGTTTTTATTTATCTATTACTTACAGGTCTACCTGATTATTAAAACTAAGAAAGTACTTTTTGAATTATACAATAAACATTCTTGCATAATTATCTTATTCTATTAACCTTTCAAAAACATTATTTACAGTGATTAATTATCAAAGATGAATGGAAAAGGGGAATAACTTCTCTCAGTAGAATACAAATTAATAGAGCCCTGCCCAGGACCAGAATGCTTAGACGAATTGTCCAGATGTTCAAAAATCTGGTAGAAATATGCTTACTTATATCATTTAAACTTTTACTCAGTTTGCTTTCGATATGCCCAGAAGCAGAGAAGAATTTCACAGGTACAATGCATTTTCACTACAGATTCAACAAAGCCTTACCCTAACACCAGAACCCAAGACCAAAGGTCAAGAAATTTACAAATTTGGAAGAGTTACCCTCATCATCATAACTATGGACTTCAAAGAATTAACACTTTTCCACTATATTATCAAAAGCCCCCCCCCCCTCCTCGTTATGCCAGAACCCCTGACCCTAGGACCACAAGATTTAAAAATTCTGTTCGAAGCTCCCAACTTCATCATAGCTAAGCAATTTATTTATCAGCTCAACACTAGGGAGCATACAGGATTAGTTAATGATTAATTAATAGAATTAATGCATTTTCACTATATAATCAATAGAGCCCCGCCCTTACACCAGAACCCCTAACCCCGGGGCCATGGAATTCACAATTTTGGAAGAGGCACTCTTGCTCATCATAACTATGTACTTAGTTACCTTATTTAATACCCAGGAGCAGAGAAGAAGATTTTCAAAGAAATAATGCACTTTCACTATATGATTTATATAGCCCCACCCTGGGGCCAGAACCCCTGACCCTGGGGCCATGAATTTCACAATTTTGAAAGAGGCACTCTTCCTCATCATAACTATGTACTTAGTTACTTTATTTAATACCCAGGAGCAGAGAAGAAGATTTTCAAAGAATAAATGTATTTTCACTATATAATCTATAGAGCCCCGCCCTAACACCAGAACCCCTGACCCTGGGGCCATGAAATTCACAATTTTGGAAGAGGCGCTCTTGCTCTTCATAACTATGTACTTAATTACCTTATTTAATACCCAGGAGCAGAGAAGAAGATTTTCAAAGAAATAATGCACTTTCACTATATGATCTATATAGCCCCACCCTGGGGCCAGAACCCCTGACCCTGGGGCCATGAATTTCACAATTTTGGTAGAGGGCTCAATGCTTATTACAATGATGCGAACAGTTTGACTGCTTGATGTCCAGGAGGAAAGAGGAAGATTTTTAAAGATTGCATTATTTTTGGTGGTTTTAGCCCCACCCCTCAGGCCCCAGGGGGGGCAGGGACCATGAAATTCACAACTTTTGTTTCCCTTAACCCATAGATGCTACATGCCAAATTTGGTTGAAATTGGTTAAGCGGTTTCAGAGAAGAAGCTAAAAATGTTCAAATGTTAACGCACGACGCACGCCGACGGACGAGAACGGATAGCAATAGGTCAACTGAGTGACTCAGGTGACCTAAAAATCATGAGTATCATATTCTTTCGAGACTAGCACGATAACCACTAGACTACACAAGCCCTGATGAATAGTGGCATTTAAATCATGTTTGTAATATGACCTTTGACTTAATGGACTTCAAGTATTTCTCGAAAAGATGCGAATGCTATGTCATAAAAGTATATTTTTAAGGTATAATGGGTCTCTGCTCCA